ATGAGAAATCTTGTGTGATTTTACGTCGAATTGCTGAATTACGTTTACATTTATATCGAACGGAACGTTTCCGGTTTCCTTGATTTTTGCTCCAGCAACGCAAACAGATAATATTTGTTCGCGTCGGAGGAAATTTCGACGTAATGCCGAGCCTGTTTGCGCGTTCGATATCGCGGCGCGATCTTTCTTGGCTGGCAGATCTCTGTTAATACGAAGGACCATGTGGCGGCTGGACCGAAGGAAACGGATCTGACAGCAGATTACGACAGGTGAAAGTGAGATTTCTGAATGTCTTTATCTGCGCTCTCCAGCCGACCGCCGTGGTATCGGAAAACTGTCGAAGAAACGTTTGCCTGATTATTAGTTGGAACGTTCATTCCCACGATAGGTTACTGTAGAAGAAAGTGAAGAAAGAAAAACGTCTTGGAAAAAGAAAAACTTGCGATAAATTGGAAGGAATTCAGTATGTCTTGCACCTCTTCGGTTGGATGTTGAAAGGAAGAAATTCTTCTTTCGACAGTGTTTACTTTCAAGGGTACAGGAAACTATGGTAATACGTCCACTATCCGATGTGATGATTAGGAGGGATGACTATGTATTTGATTCGGAACCCACTAAATTACTGTGTGACAATTAAATTTCTTTTCAAAGTCTATAAAATAAAGGACTGTGGTGGCACCTTCTGTTTTCGCCGATAGAGGAACGCCGCGCGTACTGCGTGTTTCTCAAAAGCGCTCGGTTCGTCTAATATTGATATATACTACTGACGAGGCCACTAGCAGGCCCAGAGCATTAACATTACTCAGACAGAGTATAAAAGTATTTTTGTATAATGCAGTTTATATCATTTATTTATCGATTTATGTTAAAGTTAAAATAGCTATTGTTAATGTCAGTATATTCATAGTCGTCGAGATATCTTAAAAACGATCTGAAACAAAAAATTCAAATATTTTATTAAATTGTACGAGTGTAATTATCGCGTGAAGCAGAATCAGAGTGAATTTCCATACATCAATTTTGTGCATTTATTTTAATAAATTTTAATTTCATCGTTTACAGTTCTAGTTTTCTAGTCTCTCGTAAGATAATTAAATTACTGGGTGCATGTTTCGTCGGTCTTCGAGTCTTCGTCTCCGTGAGCCCTTGTCCTCTTTCGTAATCCTCTAAAGCTGCCTGTCTGTTGGAACTGGAAGTGGTACGTGACATTAGTACCGTCTGCAACAATCCTCGTCTATGCTTTTGTTTATTCAAAAGCTTATCTGACCTGCTACCTTGCCTTCTGTCAAGAGCACGCGTTAAATCTGTTCAGCCACCATCCTGTATGTTAATACTCGATATTATAAACAATCGCTCGAAAGTATAGCACTTATCAAAGTTTTATGCATATATAAATCCCATGACTTCTATTTACAGGACATTCTAAGGAATCGATATTTTCCATGTAAATCATAGCTTTATATAAACGCCGACACCACCTCTGTGATTACCAAACTGCGGATTTTATGCATTTATTATGTGCTGCAATAATATAGAAAGCATACATAAAATATACGTAACGTATGTCCAATATATTTTAGAATTATTATAAAATAATACTGTTATTTTATTTTTCATAAGTGCACATACCAACTGGTTAACACGTATTTGTTATACTAGTTCATGTAAATAATACAAATATTATCAAAGAAGGAGAATACACCATCCCTAATGAAGAAAACTCTAATTTATTACGTTATCAAATAATTTTTTTAATAATACTTTTTTATTTACAACAGATTGAATAAAAAGATCAGCGTAGGTCACCGGTGTTAAACGCAGCACAGAACGTGTTACGCGCGTGCGTTGCTTACGTAGTTTCGAAATCGATTTTCCAGTAAACGAAGTCTCGTACAAGAAAATTCTATTCCTCGTTTTTTTATTTATTTTTCACGCATAGAATAATATGCTCCCCGCAGGACGCTTTTAACGCCACTCATTATTCGAAACTCTGCATAGACTCTATTGATCATCGCTCCCCAATCTCTCGCATATTGACAAGGTACTGCTAACAAAGTTTTAATCCGCTATCGTATCAATTAAAAACACTATCGGTATTATTAATCCAGTGGTGAAATACCATTGTTGGTTCGGTAAATATGGTGCAGGAATGAGAAATAATTTTTTATCGAGTGGAATAGTTTTTGGATATTCACGATTCAACTTTGGGACTTATTAATTATTTTTTACTTTTTATTCAGTCTAAGAATTCTCTAACACTGAGTTGATTCACATTTTCGTGAAATTTTTCCTTTTATCGAAATTAGAAAAACGTGATAGAGAGAACTGTTGAATAGTAAAACAAGACCCATGCGCCTAACTGTGAACACAGTTTTCAAGTGCAAGAATACACTTCCGAAGTGTAATTGGACTGTTTTTCTTTTAAATGGAAAAGTCTTTCGTTGGTCTTCCTTGCTGCACGTTATCGCCGATGTAACCCCATAGGAAAAAGTCCAAATAAAAATAAGAATGCGTCGTGAAACATTTATTATCTGATAAAAATACACAACAAAAATTTTGTTTATCAGCTTAACATTTATTCAAAAATAATTAGAAAAATAATATACAGTAACGGAAGTTGATATTCATAATGATTAATAGAAAGAAAAGAAATTTTCAAATTTTCAAAAATCGAAAAAATATAATAACTTTGGAGGTCCCACGATCGGACCGACCTGGAAAATATGCACTCACTTTGGAAAATGAGATTTAAAAATTAAAACTCAAAAATCTCATTCAAACGTACTTTAAAAATTCTTTTCATATTTTTTTTCTAAAAAGTACACGATAGAACAAAACTTTTAAAAAGAAAAGTTTAAATTTGGACAATTATTGTTTGGCAGTTACTTGTTATACGAAATAACAAGTTTTTAAAAAGAATCTCTCTTCCTTTCAGATTCGTCCCAGAAAATGCAGTAATTTTTCACCGAGCCTAAATAGCGAAGTTTTCAGCTTCCTCTGTATCGTCAAGCGTCAGTAATTACAACCGCAAAGATACCCTCATCTCGGGGTGGCATTCATCTGGGGCAGCATATAAAATCAATAGCCACGGGCTACGAAAATAGTCGAGGAAAAGATGAAGGGGCATTAACACGGAGTCGGCATGAAAAAGTCTGATAAGTGCATAAATCTCGAGAGTAGATCCATCTTTTCGTTTACCAACTAGATCGTTACACGTTTGCTCTGCCGTTGTGCAAAATTAAAACATTCAGCCTCGAGGATACATCACTCACGCGGTGTACCTCGTTCCCTACTTCCATGAACACGTTTACCAATTCTTAGGAAAGGCTGATGGTCCCATTCAAATTCAGATCTTACTAAACCACGTACTACAAAACGAATTTTCATTTTTGTCGAATTGGTACATTGGTTTGAAATTTAATGACAGTCGACAAAAAAAGGCAAGAATTAGTTATAGCTCGTATATTGTCTACGGCAAGTTTTCAAATACTCGCGAAATCTTCTCGATATCGACGTTCAAAAAAATATACGCCACCGTCTTGGCGCGTCCTTGAACAGGAAATCGAATTTTGATCACCCGCGCCTCTAACGAACCAAACGCACCGCAATTTGCATTTTTGAATTCCTCGCGAATTCAGCGCAAATTTCATTGGACTTTTGGCTCGAAAGCGAGATGGTCTCGCGGTAATGCGACAGAATCTGGTTGGTGTAATTGCAATAACCGAGACGACAATCAACGTAACGTCCACCGTTCGTCAACCGCAACGCGCATCAACCTCGTTACCGCCGTCCATGACATTCTTGGCGTCGCGACAGCGCCGGTGTTTCCGGTGACTAAATCGGTTACTCACCCTGTCCACGTTTCCTGTTCGGATATTCCCGTTCGATACGGATCTGCGAATATCTCCGCAATTCTATCTCTGGGAGGGTTTCCAGAGGCCGGTCCTTTGATTTCCTGCCATTGCTCGCGGACATACGTGAACGTTCATCTTCATCGGTAAATTCAGTGGTTTCTGTCCTTCGTTCTATTTTTTACCGCGTAGGAGTGGAAGAAACTAAAGGAACATAATCGATTAAGCAGGAAACGCATCTCGAGCGCGCGAAAATCGTAGCTACGTACAACAATTTTTTAGAATATAATAATATACATTTATATTTCGATTTTATTGGAATAATTTTTATTTAGATTTTTTAGGTAATGTAAGTATGTCGGTGTTATGAAATTCTGGAACATTCTATGCGCGTTACTACGCCAGATTTTCAAAATACTCCTCGACAAAGAATAAACTAATAAACGTATGAATTTTCCCATTCGACTTTGAACAAATTTTTGTTCGATCTCGTAGAAAAAAATGTTTCCTCTCACTCGCGTGTACATCGGGAAATACAGGAGTATCGTACTTGTAATTGTTTTCAGTAAAATGAATCATCCGAAATGGCGACGAATATTATCGGTTTCTTTTGATGTTTCAAATTATTCAAATTATTATTCAAATATATACCTGCGATCAGCGCCATCGGTGGCAAAACACTCAAGTTCGTCGTGGGATAGTTTCACTTTTTTGCCGCTAGATGGAGGAACGGTATCGAAATACCGACATTACAGTTACTAGTTGAAACGATTATTGTTTCATCCAGTGATAAAGCATTATTTAATTCTAAATTGTTGTAACAAGTCGATTAATATGCGATCTACGTAATAATATTAATATTCAATGCGGAACCTTACCCGCAATGAAGTTTCAGCATTTGACTCTATCGACATCCATTGAAAATCGTACGAATAACTGAAATATGAAACAACTCGGTCAACAAAATCCATAAAATTCTTTTTTTCAAATTTCTTAGGATAATGTCTACTTTGCAATGATTGTGTATCATTAAAAAAAAAAAAAAAAAAAAAATCAGTCGATATTGTTGATATTTAGATACTGGTTGCTTTATCGAGCAAGAGAACTATTCCATGACAAACTTGGACATTTTCCCGCCGAGGGCGCTGATCATAGTATAAAAAATTAGTTCATCTGATGATACCATCTGATACGATAGGAGTTAGCAAAAACATGGCTGCAATAAAAAATTGTTTGTCGAAATTTTCAAATTTTCTTTCTATTAACAGAAACTGTACAGTGTCTGGTGTAAGTAGAAACGGCGTTTTAGAATTTTATACGTAACAGCAAGATATACGTTTAGATTGTATAATCTAAATTTGCTGGTTAGTTTCAGCAAGTACGTAATAAATATTGTGATCGATGGATGATTCGTGATGTTAAACGAAGAAAGTTGGCAGAAGATTATGCACCACAACGACTACGACTAGTTGCCCTTAAGAGAAACAGTATTTTGCCACTTGAAATTGTTGTACGTTATGTTGTACACACAACTTAACCTCAAACTATGAAAGAAACATGAAAACCGTATACTAATTGAGGCGTTTGTTATAAGAGTGATGTAAATTCACCTTCCTTTTAGGATGTACAAGATTTTATCTTTCGAACAGGCATTAATAATAATGTAGTTTTCCATACAGACAAAAGTGAAATAGTTTTAAAACTTTGCTTATAGAAACTCCATTTTTCAAAAAAAATGATCTTACATTACTTTTCTAACAAACAGCACAATTGCTAATGATCGAACTAGACATAAAGTTTTCTGTTTTAGAAACTTGCTGGCGAACAAATAGATAAAGAAATTCCTCGTCAAACTGCTCTGAGACAATTAACAAATCGTTGTGTACTGACTTCTCGTGGACGTGGTGTTGTTATGAGATGGAAATTATCTAGAATCATGTTCCGTCACTTAGCAGATTACAATAAATTATCTGGTGTGGAACGTGCTATATGGTAGAACTCATGTACATTGTAAAAAATTTTAAATATTGAATAAATTGAAATAGTAAACCAATGTATTTGTAATCCTTTTATTCTATCTATGTTGGAATTAATTTTAATTTTCTTTTTTACTAGTAAATATTATTCTTAAGGTATTACAAGTATTACCGTTATCAGTGTGTTAGCATAAACAGTGACTGTATACATTTGTTGTTTTATAAGAATATTATTTACTTTCGAAAAATTTGAATATTGATTTGCAAATTTTAGCAAACGATATTTACAGTTTTGATTTGCCACTTTTAACATGCAAGAAGTTTTTTAAATAGTCCCCTTTGTTTATCGCTGTTAAAGCGCGAGGATCCAGGTAACTATAAGCATCTATCTGGTCGGGTATGCATGGCGCAGGTCCGGCTACATAGTTCAATTCTTCTGAATCAAGGGACTTTACGAGTTAGTACACATTGGTATACTCGCGGAGTAAATTCAGTTTTGTTCACGTTACAATTTTACCTGTTGCACTTATCACCGCCATCGGCAACTAAATTTCCAAAATATGAGTACCACAGTTTCGAGATATCGTGAGTATTGTTTTTTAATTAATGAGAATTGCATACGTATGACTCCTCGATAAGTCTTTATTGTTTGATGCACCGTGAATCAATGATAGTGATCAACAAACCCCATGAGTTCGCATACCTACGCAAAATTGTGTCAAGTTATAAAGTTATGTTGTTCGATATCCTATTAAGTTTTTTTTTTTTTTTTCTTTCTATTACAATAATTCTCAGCTTACCGCTTCTGTTCACGAAAATATAAAGCATTCAGTTCTACTTAAATTTATATAAATGATAAATCGTAAATATTTGTTTAAATTGGTTACACATTTTTGTATCAGGTCATTCCATGAGTTCATATTACTTATTGTTGCGTTACGAAGAAATGTAATCGCGCTTTCTCTTTTTCTTCCGAAGTCATTACACCTTCCCTATATACTTCCTGTATCTTTTTATTAAATATAAACACAATTTACTGCACGATATTATGATTGATATAAATTTTACCTGGCGATAAGATGGTATAAAGGTAACGAACAACAATATGAAATCAATAATATAATTACCCAGATTCTCCTTGCATGTAGGAAGGTAGCAATAGCTTTATAGCTAACATGACAACGCGTCAATATTTGTCACTTTTTTTTTTTATTATTTATTATATGCGATAGAACATCTACGATATTTGCCTGCTACAAAGTATGAGTAACTCACGGAGAATTATCGAAGCTAATTAGTTTACCATATTGGGTTAATTCATAAATAACTTCCGTTTATTATTTTGTAATTTAATTCTAAATATATTATTACGTACATGAATTATTTTCAAGTGTACGAAGAAAACTGAATAATAATTTCTTGTTGAATGATCCGATTCATCTGGAATATCTGAAAATTTTATTTCTACCTCCATTTAAATAACGAATATTCCATAAACAGTTTGGTATTTTTAGGTGTAGTAACAAAACTGAATACAAATTTCTTGTAAAATTATCTAATTCATCCAAAAACCTTATACCTCGCTAAGTTTAATCGTTGAATACTCAGTTCAATATACCGATCCTTTTTACTTCGCACAACGCAACATCTTTATTACCGTTTCTGCAATGAGAGCAGGTAACGATGCATAGAATCGCACCAGAAATAAAGTTGTGCGAACCATAAACACGGTAAGTTAACAAGACTTTCAAATGTCAACACATTAGTTCATGCCCCGAATAAACATTTGTCGCTCCTTTTTCCGGGAATATAATGCATCATTGGTATCGTTTGCCTCCAACGTGCGTCACGTCATAGAATGTCCACAATGCTTGATAATTAATTCTATAACACGTGTTTCGTGAACAACCGCACGAAGCGATTCTCACATAAAAATCCGTAAAAATATCTCCCTGGTGCGTTTTATAACGCTATTCGATATTCAACGAGATACAACGCTCGTGATTGGAAATTCGAGAACATCGGCTCCATTTCCTGCTGTGAGAAAGTACTTGCATTAGTTTGCTCGCGCGATATTAAAATCTTTATCGCTGCAGTTCAGGGGATAGAGGAGACTGGAGTAAACTGAAACAGGAATCAACTGAGACGTGGGTCAATAGAAAACGAGACCTCTTTTTTTTGCCTTATCGTCATATTTTTCTATTACTTATTACACCACGGGCTTTCAATACTTTTTGTATTAGTCGTACCTTGAAAAACTGCCGCCCTCCCCCCCCCTAATTTTATTGTACACGTTTTGCTGTTGTGTTTATTTCTCTCTATCGCGTACTGTTTCCATTATTTTCACAGGATTATAGTACGTAGCGGAAATGTAACGTGATGGTCGTATTTGCAATGATGCATACAGAGGTTCAGGTCATGATGTTGAAAACGAAGTTAGCCTTGACTGAGATTCCTACTAAAAGTAGAAATTCGACACGCAAGATCTGGCCCTTCTTGGTGTACAACCACGACATCGAAAAATTACGTATAAATTACAACGCGAATCCATCAAGACAAAAGTTTCGAGATGAACACAGTCATTCAATGGACGCTGCCGTGAGAATTTATTGTATTATATATATATATATAAGTTGATATTTTCATAGAATTAAAAAGAAAGATCGATTCTTTTCTTTTTTTTAGTCAACAAAGTAGAACCCTTCTTTAAATGAAAAAGGACACTAATTTTTTTGACGCGTACAAAGGGATAAATAAGTAAGGAATTAAATTGATCAACATTGTTTATTTATTTTCTCATAGATCCCGGAAAGTTTTCACTGCGCGATGAGACCTATATTGAGATTAGCACAATTATTTGGCATACTTCCCGTGTCTGGAATAAAATCTCAGTCACCCACGGAGCTTCGTTTTAAGATATTCTCGTTTCTGACCGTCTATTCCGTCTTCATCATCGTAATGATACTTTTTATAACGGTTATATCGATGATACATATGATGACAACCATAAGCGCCGAAACATTCCACACACGCGGTAAGTGGATTATTTTTCTCTGGAATATATTTGATCCGTATCAATCGTGAATGCTTTCTCAGTTTTTAATCGCGCCAGACATGAAAGAAGATTAAATAAACGCACTAGGTAATAAACACGTTAGTCCGACCGGCACGCCAAGAGCCAATTTGTGTCTTCATTTAGCATTGCAAAACAACGATTTACGACTCATAAAACCGAGCTTTTTATCGCTTGATATTGCGATACCGCTATCTCATAGACACAGGCTACGTCGAACTTACTTTACCTATCACTCTTTCTCAAATAAAAAATTACTCTAAGCAACTCAGCTGTTTTAAGAGGCAAGCCTACCCGGAACGACCTGCCTTCGTTAAACGAAGGTTATCTAACGTTTCGAACGTTATTCGATTGATTTTTTCTGAATAATACTTTTCACATTGTTCATCTATAACCTGCGATAAGGTGTGACGAGGTAAATATCTGAAGAAAAAAAAAAAATGCAATATCGCGTTTTCAGGTGGCATAGGCGAAGCAACGATCGGCACGGTGTTCTATGGGAACAGCCTGCTGGGCGCAATTTTATTTTTCTGGCTATCTTCGCGATGGACGTCTCTTCAATACGAGTGGAAGGCCATGGAACAATACATAGACAGGTCAATATTGCGTTCGCGGATAAAAAAATATGACGCGATTCGTTATAAATCGTGCTGTTTCCACTTCATCAGTGCCGCACGCGAAGTTCAATACCTGCTAATCATCATTGCACTACGAGAAGGCGGACGGGAGGGAGGGGGGAGGGGATGTGTGTGTGAGATAATTGATTTATTTTCGAGTAAAATGCAGTCACGCGACCCTAGAAGAGTCCTGGAGATGCCCGACAAGTTTACGATAGATTTTTTTATTTTATCACAAACATACAAAAAGACCGGTGAATTTTGTTTCGATGCCAAATGGAATATTTAACGAGATAGGAATTCGGAATATTGTAGGCGGCATTGTTTAAATTATTATGGATAAAAATACGTAAGGTAATTTGCATATACATTTTATATTTTTTAAGTAAAACGTACGTTACGAAATAGCATCAAATAGTTTGTATACTAAAAATATGATAATTGTACCGAAAGGATATAAATAGTTGAAGAAATGTAGGAAAATTTTTTTTTTTTTTCTATTATTTTCGTCAGACAGACTCATTCGCCATTTCTTTTTCTTTCCTATTAAAATTTTAGATTTGTAAACATTTTTCATTAAATAGACGACCGCGTGCATTCAGTCGCATTTAATAAGCATTAATTCGCACACGAGTTACGTCTGTTCTGTCCAGCAATTGTACGGTTCATCCACGCCTTCGATGGAAGTTTCTCCTCATAAGTTCTACTGTTTTACTATTGGCTCTCATAGAACATATCCTAAGTATACTGAACAACGCGGGGAGCTACGAATGGGACGGATCGAGCAACTCGACGTTTCGCAACTTTCTAGAAATATACAGTCTACGATCGCATGCCTTTGTCTTTAAAATAAGTAAGATTATGTCATATAGAAAGTGTCCAAGTGTTTCGCAAACCATTACTAAACTTATTTTTCATTTCAGTGGATTACAATTTTGCTTTCGGTATATACATCTTTATCGTTAGCAAACTAGCGACCTTCATTTGGAACTTTACAGATGTCTTCGTTATGCTGGTACAAATTTAATATATAAATTATTTCTTATTTTCATCTCTTTCACGCATTTGCTAGTAAACGCACCAGGTCAGAGCGAGACAGAGCCAGCCAAGTGAAACGTTTTCGTGTAATCTTTAGGTTTCCACAGGCCTGGCTGAAAGATACAAGTTTTTGAACAAGAGAGTAGCGATCATGCTAGTGAAAGATCGACGCTCGTTCAGCTGGCACAAAGTGCGCAAAGCATACGCGGTCTTGAGTGCTCTCGTAAAAAAAGTGGACGACCATATTTCACCGATTATTCTGTTATCGTTCGGAAACAATCTGTACTTCATCTGTCTCCAATTACTGAATGGTCTATCGTAAGTGCAATTTATTTATAAACAAAGGAACAACTTTCTATTAGTCATTATTAGTAATTAACTAATTTGTTTCTACGTTAAAAGGAACTCGGTCAGCAGTTCCATCTTAAGCGACATATACTTTTTCGGCTCCTTCGCATTTCTTATCGCTCGTACATGCGCGGTTACTTTGTTTACCGCTAGAATACATGATCAAAGCAAGAGGGTGTTACCTTGCCTGTACAGTTGTTCAACGTCCAGTTACGACTCGGAGGTGATTTCTAAGAATATTTAGTGGCCTCTCGTATACGTTTGATCTTATTCTTCAAGAAGGTAGAACATCGTAGCATTTTTAAATTACAAGAATTTCAACTATAAATTTACTTTGTTCACGCTTCTGAAAAGTTATGAATTTCAAGAATGTTGTGTGAACATTTGAGAAAGATGTCTCTAGACTGCTAGTGTTAAAGGAAATATTTATCGACAGGCTCAGAGGTTGGAATATCAACTCGCTACAGATGATGTAACGCTGACAGGATTACGTTTCTTTTCAATTACGAGAAACTTTATGCTTGCGGTAAATTGATTAGCATTTCAAGTTATTCCCGTTCATATACTTTCCACCCTGTACAATACTCCTTTGATATACTGCGTTCAAACAATATTTATTTACAGGTGGCAGGGGCGATCATAACGTACGAAGTCGTACTTTTGCAGTTCAATAATTCGTCACTGTGAACGAATAAGTCGAAAGATTTAGCGTGTCTATTTTACTTGTTCAATTTTATTGTCGATATTTTATATGTTTTTGCATTTAGTTTTGTTATTCAGGACCTTCGTATTTCAAATAAATCGATATTTTACACATCTAGTACACTTTTTCTTTTTTTCTTACAACGCCTCTCTTTTTGGCCTTATTATCTTATTTTCCATTAACTTATCTTACGCCACTTGTTCCATATATTTTTATATAAGCAATGCCTTGAAAAAACTGGATCCGGACACGCCCAGAATTCGAAACCTAGCCCTCAGCATGGTAATCAGCTACGCTATCCACTGCTCCACCGTCCTCGTCTTACATCGAGTATACATTAATCGAGATTACCGCATTGTTCAAGGTGCAACGAAAGAAGTAAAATTTCTTTTTATCAACATAGTCATACATCGTATTATTTTGCATGTTAGTTACAATACTATTGCATTAAACGATCTATATACTCGGTTTGCTATCAAATATGTCATGCATCGCTCGATTATCATCCACGGAGGATAAATGCAGATGTATGCCGTTCTAGTTTTAAATAATCCGAGGATGTTGAAATTCTGTAGTTCTTAATGATTGATGTACAGAGAAGGATGACAGGCAAAGCTCCTTCTCCGCAGAGAAAGTATTAAATCGTCACCAGGATCAGTTCTTCGAAACGAGGAACTACAACAAACAAACAAGTCTGTAAGTGAAATTTTATAAAAACAACAATGCTATCGAACCTTTTAATGGCTCGTCACCTTTCTTTATCAGCTTTACCTTTGTCGCTAATGGTACTATTACTAATATTACAAACTTTCGATAGTGGTTTTACTTCTATGAAAAATGAAAAGCATTTTTTGTTGTGACAAAAACACCAATATATTGTAATACATGTATAATACACAGGATTATGAAAGGATTAAAAATACAGACAGCGTTATAAATATTCAAGCTCATATTATTAAGCCTATATTACAGTGCTATGGATAGCTCCTTTTATACATAATTCTATCAATATTTGTTAACGATAATAATAAAGCAGTGCTGTCTATAGGTCGAGTCCTCCGCGCGGCTGTGTTTTAATATACCGGGTGTCCCAAAATTAGTGTAAGAACCGAAAATGGAGGGTAGCTGAGAGGATTCTGAACCACAATTTCCTTTGCAAAAATGTCGGATGATTCTTCGTTTTTGAATTATTAACGAAAAACCACCGACCAATCACAGCGCCCGAATAGCGCGCGCTCAGTCGCGTAGTTATTGTAAAATCACCTTTTATAAAAGTTCGTCCGATATTTCTTATGATTTCAAAGATGTTTTCGAAAATATAAATAAAAAGAATTATTTCGAAGGGGCGCTGCGAAACACTTTTCTCGAAGGATACTGCTACAAGCCTCAAGCATTATCAAGTGTTAAAACAAGTTCCGTGAAAGCCACGGAAATCATACGCTAGGTAAATGTACATAATGACTTTTCAGAAAATTTTTATACCAATTACAATCGTAGAGAAAGTAAAAGCTATGAATACAAGATTAATTTACAGAAGTTATTCTAAAACACTACGAGGCAATACGCTAGTTCAAATCGTATTGTATATACAGCAGCTATATACTACTACGGATTTAGAAGCATTTTTAGGCGGGAAAGGGAAGTTCGAGGAGGAATCCTTCTAAAGTGCCTCGAAAGATACTTGGAAACGCGTCTACTTCACCTCGCAGACGTCCGTAATGTTCGTTGGATCGACTTGGTGAACGGAATTAAATTGGACGAGAACCAATTCGTAGGTGACTATAGTCCCTGCCACCTGAAACATGTTCAAATAACGAATTCGTAATATTTTAACGATGGAAAGCTGCAAGATTGAAAGATGGAAATTTTGCGTATTTTTCATATCATGTTTGCGAATCGACCTTTACGCGAAGAGCGCCTTGATGTCTCTAGCGTCGCATCGATCAACTAATCGATTGACAGTGAACGCTCTATGTCATCGTGAGACTTTTTGGGCCAGTTTCAAAACGCGCAATGGCCGCGCACGTGCGCGCAAAACAGCTCTTATTGTTAGTTTTCTCATAAATATCTCGGTGATTGTCTCATCAAGTTCAAAGTGTTAATTAATGTGTGCGCCTGGAATAACGTTCGCCTACTCGGGAACCACACAGACTCACTCAACCAGATAGCGTCAGAATACTCAACCTTCGATAGTTCCACCTTCGACAACATCGACAGGTACTGTTACGAACACTTTTAACGCATTATACCATCGTTTTAATAATAGACGAGAATAAAGTGTTTATTGTTAATCTCTGGCATTCATTTGTACAATCCTCGAACAGAACATCCGTTCGTGAACATAATACATTTACGTGATACATGTATACTATATTTATTTCTCTTTGTCATTATTTGCGGTTAAGTAAACAATTATCTAATTATGTGATAGTAATTCAAGTTTTAATTATGGCGTTTTCAAACTTTCATACGTATGTAGTTTAAAGGAGTTTCCGTGCTGTTTCTCAAATAGAACTTCAGGACGAAATTGAAACCGAATATTATTAAACTTTGCAAAGATTGCGAATCTCATGGTTCTCGTTAAAACTTTAAACTCGATGTGTCTCATTATTTATACGGTGGGTTAAAATTATAGTAAATATTTTATTTCGCTGTATATCCCATTCCGTTGTGCATATATTAAGTTAAGATTGTATTATCATGCCAATTTTAAGCTCTTAAAAATTAAAGGAAGCGAATTAAGAATCGAATTTAACAAAGGTTGAGAGGCACCGTCGTATACGTACAGTTAACACGAGACCCCTGGTCACCGAGAAGAATTTCATTCCAGTCAAGCAGATGCTGTCCGTCGTAACTTGAGATAGAAACCTCATGACCTATGAAAATAGCAAAATTAATGAATTTCTCGGGGTGGCAGAATTAACGAAAGCGCGACTTTTGGCGAAAAGTTTTTGATGAAACAAATGGAAACCGAATGACTTACATGAACATGTATATTTAAACAAATGAACGATAAAAAAATGTACTAATTAACTTTCATTATTGTGATTTTGATACGATGATTTTGCTGTATGTTGTAAAAATGAAATATACGAGATGTTACTTCAGCGCAGAAGCTGCTTCCGGAAACGGTGTATAAAATCGGAGCAGGTAGCAAGGACTCGTCGTGTATTGCTGCCGCGCATAAGGAAACTAGCGTCGTCCTTGCCAACAGGAATCCAAAGGAGAAGCTGAAGTAAATTTTCTCGACCAAACCTCGCATAGGACTGCTTCAAAATAGAAAATTTTAATGTTCTACATATGTTTCACGAAAAATAACTATTGAACGCTTTAAAATTAAATGCGACTGAACGAAAGTCACTGAGTTAACACTGAGGACCAGGATTACTTTTTTTTTTACTACAAATGAACGATCGTTAAAAAATATGAAAAACATAATACAGGGTGGCCCAAAAAACGCATACTCGCGGTAACGTACGAGCACGGCTCGCTAAGACGTGACCTATTCTACTGCGAACGCTCCACCGGCATACTCGCGGATCAGTGATTGGCAAAACCCTAGACTTGGAATAAATCTGAAGTTTGCCGATGTGTTTGTCTCGTTTCCTTCTTTGGGAAATGTTCAAAAGAGGAAACGAGACAAAAATATCGGCAAACTTCAGACTTATTCGAAACCTAGGGTTTTTCCCATCACTGGCGTACGAGGGCGTCCGAGTAGGGCTTACCCTATACTACTGCGAACGCTCCACCGGCATACTCGCCGTAACGTACGAGCACGGCTGGCTAAGGCGTGACCTATACTACTGCGGGCTCTCCACCGGCATACTCGCGCTCTGATTAGTCGGGATTTTCTGTTAATATCTCCTTAACGAAGCTTCGGACAACACTTTCGCTAAGGAAAAAGTTGTTCCAAATCACCACCTCCCGGAACCACCCGTTTCAAGAACCTCCAACATTTTTGGAACACCCTGTATGTAATATGTAATGTACGTTAAGTCAGCCTAATGTTCTAATAATATTCGAAATACGAAAGTCAGTTACAAAAGTATTGAAAATAAACTGCCCAAGGCAATGCAGTGGGAAAAATGGCACACTTAAGATTATGCATCGATATGTATACTTGAAAGAGAAGAGTAGTTGTATGCAGATGAAGTAGAGATCGGTGGCGAAGGAGAGAAGAACCATTACAGAGATATGGGAGTCCAGTTGCCTCGTCAAGCTTGCCAAATGGTTATAGTCGTTTCTTGCCTCGGCCCACCACCATTCTGGCATTGCCTTAACAATGAAATGATACTAACGACCAAGATTCGTCATTAGAAACGATCATTCTTACATTCGTTCGCTAAGATTACAACAGCTACACTGTGAAAATAGAAAAACTTCGAGCAGCAATTACTGATTTCCTTTATCAATAAAACGCTTTTTCTTATAACGCGAGATTGGCGGGCTTGTGAACATCACGTTGTACTAGAAACGATAATTTATTGAGTACCAACGATTGCTATAACGTTTTCACTTTTCACTTGGCAGCTATGGAAAAATTCAAAGAACTGTTTATTAGTAATCGCAGTCATCGAATTGTATAATCGGCAATCAAATTCCTTGTGAATTTATTCGATAACTGTAGTAACGCAAAAAATGAATCGTGGTTACGAATGAAGTTTTATTAGAGTTATAGAAATATTTGGAAAGTGCACCTTACCTTGCCTCTGATAGAGTATAAGCGAGTATTTAATTGGCGAAATTGGTCTGTCAAAGCTATGCTGATCAGAATGAGAAACAAGTCGACAAAGTTCCAAGAGAAAGTACACAAAATGTTAATAATGTCCACCGCTATACCTTTCCATAAGCTGTACGAAATTTTAGAAAAGACCTAATTAAAAAAGGGAAGACACGAGATTTGAGAATGTTCTTCAGGCTGTACACAACAACTGCCATTAACCCTTTATAGGTCACTGGTACTCATTATTACCAATAAGGAAGAAGCTTGAATTTTGTATTTTTAAGTTTCTACGCTTATCCACACAAAAAAAAAAGTGAAAAAAAAATGCCCAGGCAGCTCCGGCCTATAAAGGGTTAATTAAAAGTTAGATGGAAATACTTTTCTCACCTGGGGAAAT